CTTGTTGCTTTTATTGTAATTTACACCACTTCGACCTTGATTTTCTTTAGGTGCTGTTTTCTGAAAGATTTTTATGATTTCTTCTCGTTTTATTTATTTATTTATGAATCACGCTTAACATATAAAGTATTAAATTTGCAGAAGATTTGTATAATAAACTAAATACAGCTAATGGAGGGGGAAGTTACTAATTTATAGCATCGACACAGTCAGTTAGAGTGTTAGAGTGCATTAATTTTATTGATCCAAGGGAAAAGTTTCAAAAAAGTTTCACCCACTTCCAGAGTGAAAAAAAAATCCATAAAAAAAATTGTGGCAAAAAAATGCAACATTGCATCTTCCAAAATTCCAATTTGTACCATGTTAAATTCATGCTGTTTTTTTTAATCTGATACAAATAAACAATAGCTGGAAGGTTGGCTCTAATAACTTTCTAAGAAGAAATTGTAGTAATTTTCTGGTTGAAGAGAGTTGAGAGCAAAGCTGTCGAGCTGTAGGTGACATTTCATCGTCGAAGAAACCAGCAAAAGATGATTTCCAACTGTTACCATGACAACAATGCAGTCGCTGCTAGTGTTCACCTCTGTAAGGCAATGAATTAAATGTTAGTGAATTTTGTTTCCTTTTTTTTTCTCCTAGTTGTACAGGTAAAAATTACCTGTAGAGAGTGTGGGTTGGCCAGCCAATAAGGAATATTTGTCGCCCGAGTGGGAGCTCTCCTACACTAAACACGGAAAGGATCTGAACCATGACATTTCCCACTCGAAGAAACCAGCAAAGTATTCGTTATTGATAAACTAATTCTTTAAAAAAATAGTCAGATGTTATTTATTTAGGTTACTTTATAACAATTTTCCTCTCCACATCGTTTGTTATGCGCATATTTATGCGGTTTTAACGTAATTCCAATCCCATTTTGTATCCATGTGTTTACAATTCAGTATAACTTCAACGTTCATATCTCCATTCTGTAGCGTGCACTCGCTTATAACGATTCACCTTAACCTATATTTTAAAATATCTGTTTTGTATGCACATTTTTATAACGAAATTTAATTAATTGCATTAAAATCTTTCGTGTGTGCAGGTTCAGTCGTGTATGCACATTCACTTCTAATTGTTTTATATGCCCGCATAACGGAATGTGATGCTGTACTTCACTAGGCACATTCGTTCGTGAATTTATCTATGTGCGTGTTGACAATATAGTACTCACCATCATGTGTATGCACGTATTTATAATGCATTATTGTAGTTAAGCTCGCATACGAATGTTATTTATGCATACGTTTACAATATGGCACAATAATGTGAACTTTACTGATTTTATTAGTGTATGCACTGTACTGTACATACTAATGACAGAATCAACAGTACATGCACATATTTATCAATATATACATACAAAATTCTCTACGTTATCACCAATTATAACGACACAAGAAACAAAAATTTCAAGAAATTTCAACAAAAAAAATAAACTTTTTTATACCCCCAAAATAGTAAATTTATTGTATAAAAATGACTTTTATCAGAGAAAATTTTCTTACAAATTTACGAATATTCACATAAAGAAAATTTCTGAAAGTGCTCTGAAAAAATTAAATTTTCTACTAGAACCAAACAAGTTTCGATGTACATATAGCAAAAACGAATATAGTATAAGTAGATGAAGGTGTAACCGAACAAAACAGATGAAATAAAATGTAAAAAGTTAGTTTTCTTCTAGCAAAACACAAAATCTAGCTTCAGAAACCACTTATTCTTTGGATAAAGAAAGCATTACTAATATTGGATTGTTGCACCTTTCTCAGATGAGATCAAAAAAAAATTTGCTTGCAACCGATATACATCTTGTGCCAAGTTTATTCGAAGATGATAAAATAAACATATATATTTTTTCTTTCATAAAAAAAGTGTATATCTTTTAACAATTTATTGCTTATTTTTCGTTATTTAATCCTTATTAACAATTTATTTTCACCCAAATTCCAGTCAGCTTCCAAAAATTTCCCTAACGATTTAACAAATTTCCTTAAAACTTCCCTAAAAGTTTCATTAACATTTTCAACCAAAAATTTCTCTAACAATCTTTTTTCCAAAAATTTCCCTAACAATTTTTCCCCAAAATTTCCCTAACAATTTTCCCTAAAATTTCATCCAAAATTTCCCTAATGATTTATTCACTGAAACTTCCCCAAATTGTTCCCTAACTAATCACTGAAACATCCCCAAATTATTCCCTAACGACATTCTCAACTGTTTCAAAAATTTCCCTGACGATTAATTCCCTGAAAAAATCAGGAAAAATTTTCCCAACAATTTGTTTGCTGATAATTTATTTTCCATAAGAATTTATTATCCCTAAAAATTTCCTTAGAAATTTACTTATTTGTTTCTGTAAATACTTTTTCTCCAATTAAAAAAAATTACATATTTTAACAATTTTTATTTATTTATTAAAGTAAGTAAAAGTACATATACATTAATACGCACAATCTGGTAATGATGATGATAAATTTTCAACCACTTTGGCATATAACCAGAAAGTGATTTAAAGAAGATTTATTACATTAAATAGGGTATGACACATTAATGATCCATGCAAAACATTAAGAATTATATTAAAAACGCATGCTTTTAAACGGCGCCTTGAAAGATGTTCGCATTTTCTTTAGTAGTGAGAGATATACTCGTGTGCTATAAAACCTGTTGAACTGATCACGCTTGTGTGACGACCTCGTTCGAATTGTTCTATAAAATTTATGTTTCTAGTCATTAAATATTTATTGCCTACATCTTGCTGTGAAAAATATTCCACGTTTCCGTATTTTAAACGTATTTTCCTGTATAAAAATACCTAGAAATTCGCACGTTTCTTGCTTTAATTTTAAAAATTTCTATTATTTCTTTTCCAATATTCTTCTGTGCTTTTTTCTTTTATTTGGCAACACTTTTACTCACTCCAAACAATATTACATTATCTAGAAATGTGACTCGCGATCTACACGTTAGGAAATTCGTAACATTATTTAAACTTATACGAATTAGTGTACCGTAACTTTATTTAAATAATGAAAAGTTTCTAAAGTACATATGATATTTATAAGCAATATTTGCATAGAGGAAGAACACATCGGGGATAATGAATAATATATTTTTTAATAAAACAAGAATTCGCGTTTGATATGCGGTTCAATACAAAACTTTAGTAACGTCACGTCTTTCTATTCATATTTTCATAACATTATTTAATATTTTACGTATTCACGAAGCATTTATATGTTAAATATTCTGTAATAGATTTATAATTCTTAATTATTTAATTTGATATTCGTAGTTGATGCGTAAGCTTCGCACTGTAAATATACAGGATAAGGATTATGCCTCAACCTGTATATTTATTCTGAGTTATGTGCATAAATATGCAGGTTGAGGCATAAGCTGTAATTTCTACTTAAAATTAATGTATAATTTACAAGAAATTTTTTGTTATTAAGTAACGTTGCTTACACTCTTGCGAGGAAATTAATTTATTCGCTAGATATAAAAACTTATATATTTCTGTATACAGTCAAACCTGTAAATGACGGCCACTGGCACTGTATCGAAGGATATTTTGTATATATTTTTGTTTAAAAAAATGTTCCTTAAAAACGATCGCCGTTTAGAGGTGTTCTTTATTGGAGGTTAGACTGTATTAAATTGCAATTTAATAATAATAATCATATTATTATTATTATTAAAAACAATTTGTATACCAAAGTAGATTGACCTTTTTTCAATAGTTCTTTCTATGGAGATTTCAGAACACATTTAATTACGACCCCCTTATATTAAATTTTAACTTCTCCTTTAATTGATTACGTAACTACGGAAGAATATAATTAAAAACGATTCTAAAAAACAATAAAATTTTATTGTAATTAAATCAAAAATTATTGTTTTAATGATCAGAAGATATCTTTAACTTCTTAATAAATAGAAATCGTTAAAATTTAATAATTTGTTCAGAAGTTAATGTTACTTCTAATGACCCTGGCTTGTAATTTAGAAATTTAAAAGAAATATATATATATATATTTTTTCACAAATTAAAGACAAAGTCGCTCTAAAATTATTTCTTTTTTAGACGATTACCATTTTTACAGTGTTCTAGAACAAATAATAGACAGCTGGACCTTCCTTTTTAGGCTACACAACTGCCTACATTTAAAAAAGTTCCTTAAAAACACAAAAAACCAATAAAGATTAAAAATTCTTCTTTAAAATTGGAATAGTAAATCTTGCGACGTCTTGTTAGTTCATCCTTATCTACGTGGGTTTCTGGCTCCTTTTATCTACTGTGGATTAGCGCTGACAAATGTNAAATAATTTTAGAGCGACTTTGTCTTTAATTTGTGAAAAAAATAATTTATTCATCCGACGGAAATACAAATATATCGTTAATATTCGTCACCAGAGGGATATCTTGGCGTAATCTACATTTGTCAGCGCTAATCCACAGTAGATAAAAGGAGCCAGAAACCCACGTAGATAAGGATGAACTAACAAGACGTCGCAAGATTTACTATTCCAATTTTAAAGAAGAATTTTTAATCTTTATTGGTTTTTTTGTGTTTTTAAGGAACTTTTTTAAATGTAGGCAGTTGTGTAGCCTAAAAAGGAAGGTCCAGCTGTCTATTATTTGTTCTAGAACACTGTAAAAATGGTAATCGTCTAAAAAAGAAATAATTTTAGAGCGACTTTGTCTTTAATTTGTGAAAAAAATAATTTATTCATCCGACGGAAATACAGAAATATATATATATAAAAAAAGAGGAAACGATTAGAAGTTTGCTTGTTCCTCTTAATTAGTGTCTGAGTATCTGAAAAGAATAATTTCGCGTGAAGAATTCTTCGGTAATGATACTTTGATGGTTAATTTTGTATGGAGAAATGAGTTTTAATAAATCTAAAAATAGAATAAAAGTATTAAATTGTCGTTTTTTTAAACTCACCTTTTCTACAGAATTACTTTTATCTTCTTCGCCGTGTGAAACGCTTACACTTTGAATGCTTCTGTTAGAATGGCGACTGTGTAAGGAACTGTGATAGGAAGAACACGAAACGCCTTCAGGAGAACCCCTTGCAGCTTCGTCTACAGATAAGTAGTCCTTTTTTCTTGACATATGTCTCTGATACTTGCTGTCCTGAAACCTTCTGAAGAGGGTGTGCTTACAACCGATTCCGAACATCAAGGGGTCATCGTCAGTTATGGGATCAGAAACGAAACTATTCACCGCTTCGTCAATGAGCGCTTGTTGCAAATGAGCAAGATTTTGATCGGCTAAGTCGTGGGGTGTAATTCCTTTATGATTTTTCATGTGTAACCTCCCACCGCTCTCCAAGAGCAATCTTAAACACGGCGTCCTTTCCACGCAAGCTGACAGATGTAACGGCGTTACCCCGTGCCTGTCTTGGAAATTGGGTGAGGAGTTATACTTTAATAAAACGTGCACCATCCCGGGATTACCGAGCACTACAGCTAGGAACAAGGGCGGTAAGGCATAGAGTACGTCTCTGCTATAAACCTCTTCGTAAGTCAAAGGGCGTCCGTCTGGGGCTATCGATACCACTCGCAGATCATCAGCGATATCTCTCCTCATATGAACTAATTGTCTAGGAAGAAATACGGGGGAGCTTCTCCCATCCGTGTAGTGTCGAGCCGTGGCTGGAGTGAGCAATTGGCTAAACCTTCTACCCTTAATTTCCGCGGGACTTCCTTCCGTGGGACCGGTGTAGCTACTCCTCCTCCACATGTCGTTGCAGCCTACACCACATTCATTAGGATCCACGCCATATTTGAGCAGCAAACGCGCTACGTCCTGCGAATTGTACTCCACAGCTAAATGTAACGCATTGGCAAATATGGGTGGTGTTTCTTGTTCTGTCGAAACGCTGTCGTTTCTGTCCAGGCGATCGAGAAATGTCTGACTCTTCCTCAACAATATATCCACATCTTGGCTCACGCAATGGCTCTTGGTTTCGCAACTAGACTTATCTAGTAGACTCCCGTGAAGATTAACAGGGAATCGTCCGTGATGTAACTCTAGCATCCTTCTGACATAACACAAGTCGTTGTGACGTACTGCCCTTTCTAGTTGTTCTGCCTCGAAGGTCAGGTCGTTTATGCTGGATGCTGCACTGGTTTCGCAACCATCCGGTTCCGTAGATTGATTGGAGAGTGAGTGGCACGAACTGCTTGAAGCTACCCCAACATCTGTTGGAACTGGTAATATTCTTCCTTGGACGGACTGTTGTCGCCTGGTTGAATGGCGCTCTTTCACAGACTGCTGCAAAAGATAAAAAATCCATTAATGTAAATATAAAAATTGACGTAATAATGCTGAAAGTCAAATTTATCCTTTACCATTATTACGTAACAATGATTTAATGACGTAACAATACATTAAAGAAACTATGTAATAATACTTCATCAGTTACTGTGTATACTTTACGATGAAGCATTATTACGTAATTTTCAAAGTATTATTACGTAATAAAATTGAGTAACAATATTTTTTCGATGATTATTGTTACGTAGTTTTTTACAGTATTATTACGTAAACACATTGAATATTCTTACACAATAATATTTTGAGAATCCTAACAATAATACTCTTCTGAGGACTACCTAACAATACTTATCAACAAGTATTGTTACGTAGTTGGTGAGGAAATGAAGACGTAACAATGCAGTAATTATGGAAGCAATTATCATAATAATGTCGAAAACAAGAAGAAATTCGTGAATTTAAATAATGTAGAATGATAAAAATGTATAAATTTTTGCCGAAAATTGGCAATTATAAACGAGATTAAACGTGGAATAAAAGATAATTTGAAAAATTAATAAAAGTTTTTTTTTTGCAGTTAAATTCGTCCGAGATAATATCTTTCATTAAAAATTAAGTATTAAGATACATAATTTAAAATTTTTCATCGATTTAAAAGTTTTAAATTAATGTAAATGCTAAAAATCAGCTTAGGAAAACATGAACATTTCTCACATTAAAGGCTAACGTAATCAATAAATTTAGCTCCTGGCATAAATGGTGTTATCAATCTTTAAATGAGAAATTTAGTAATTATAGGAACCAAACTCGAGCTTTTTAATAATATATATATATATATATAATCTTTAATAATTAAGTAATTCAATCGGAGAAGTAATAAAAACAAAAATGGCAATTACTGTTCCCATTTAATGGTTAGTAACGTTAAGAATTTATAGTAAATGTCTTTAATTTTTAGTGTAATATGTGTATCACACAATTAGTAACGTAACTTGTACCTATATTAAAGGCTCAAATTAGGTTAAAAAATGAATTCATCCCTGTTTGCGTTGGTTTGATGGAATGTGGTAAGAAAATATGGACGATCTGCCTAGGGGGTGCCTTCTGGAAGGATTTCCTATGAGAAACTGGCGCTTATTTAAGTGTTAGATGTGAAAAAATACCCGAAAAGCTCCATGTAGCACATGCCAAGTGAATAAAACTAATGAACACTGATCATTGGTTCGAACCTCACCAACGGACTTGCTAACTACCTCTAATGAAAACTACCGCTGTAATGTAGCCACTAGCGTAATGGGATGAAATATAAACTTACATACTTATGTATAAATGCATGTATAAATTTGCTTACTTATCTGATTTTTATTTTATTTAGTTACAAAGAAAGATAAGGGGGTTCGGGTCTTGTAAATAACTGTGAAGCTATTGCTTATTGCTACTGAAAACAATAAGTAATTGATGCTAAAGTGTATTTAGTGATGAAAATAGTTAGTAATTAATCTAAGTGATGATTTTGTCCTACTTTTGTCAATGGAACCACTCATCTTCACACTACTCTAATAGCACAGTCATTAAGTTTTTAACCTTAACCTTAAGATAAAGCTGTAATTGTATACCATTTACTGTTTATAAGTACAATAAATAGCCGTACATTTGCTACAATGGTAATAAACTTCGCAATTTAATTTGTATATAACAGTGAATAGACTCCATTTGTTTACAATAAGGGTAATAAACTCGAGAGCATAATATCAATAATAATCATGCGTTGGTGTAGTCGTCTGTTACCAGAAGCATTCGGCTTATTATTGAATTGTATTTGATTAATACAACATATAGGCTTATATTTATAAATTTATATACTAAAATAGGAATAAAATAGTAAGTACAATACATGCCTCTACCAACAAAAATATCGACTCGCATGTTAGGATGTTAAATGAGAGTCATGCATCGTAATGCTAAATAAAAGAGCATATGGCCATGAGTGTCCGCAGAGAGGAGGAAACGGACAGGGGAAAAACTAGGCTCCCTATCCTGACCCTCTTCCTGTTCCAGAAGATTGTGACGTCGGCGTTAAAAATCCGACGAAATGTGGCACTGTAAATTGTGTACAAAGGGGCATTAATGCTATTAAATTTTGGTTCTTGATTAAAGGTCGACAGGGTGAAGACATAAAACTGGTCACGTGTCATATCTCTTAATGAATATTTTACTCGTTATTAGCCTTCAAAATTAAAAAAATAAATAAATAAAACTCGTCTCTACTCTCAAAGTAAGCTTTTTTTTTATCATTTTATAATAGTACAGTAAAATTCGTTAACATGTTCTCGCCTAAGATGTTACAATGTATATGGGGACACGATTTAGTTCAACCACTTTGACGCTTAATAACTAACTCCTGTGTTAAACCTTCTGACTCCGATTCTGGCCACTCTGACCACAGAAATTATTAGGCTTCAAACAGGGTGAACAAAATCATGCTCCCCACACAGTCTAACATCCACATATATAGAAAAAACCTCGAATCTTTTGCATATCTCGAAATTTCAAGGTGTCTTGAATCCAAAAATGTAAAAATTTGGGAGGGGTCATTTTTTGACCGAGCGCTACACTTTCCCTCTGTTATATATAACAGCCGGAAAAGTAAAAATTATCGAATACATATTTATATATTACTTAGAGGAGTCTTTTAGCTATGGAATAAAAAGTTTCTACGTTCTCTCTTTATTAGAACTCTATTTATTGAATCTTTTATTTTTAGGTCACGTGATGATATCAGAATTTCCGGGTCTCTTTCGGTAACAAGTCAGCCCCTGGTCGGAGTCGGAGTCGGTAGATTTTCACGCGACTCCACAGCCCCGTAAAAAAGCCTTTCTGGAGATTAAAAAAAATCTTTTCTGATAGTGAAAAGGATTTTCTGGAGGTAAAAAACCTTTGGAGGTAAAAGAAACCTTTCTGGGGGTAAAAATAACCTTTCTAACGGTAAAAATAATTTTTCTGGAAGTGATAAAGCCTTTCTTTTGGAGGTAAAAAAGACCTTTCTGGAAGTAAAAAAGCCTTTCTGGAGGTAAAAAACTTTTCTAATAGTGAAAAAGTTTTTCTGGAGGTAAAAATTCTTTCTGGAGGTAAAAGAAATCTTTCTGGAAGTGAGAAAGCCTTTCTGGCAGGAAAAAAAACCTCTGAAAACTAAATTCAAATAAGTTTTAAAATTTTAGCAATTAGCGAATCGATCGAAAACAAACTTTACAAATAAAATAAATTTCTTTTTTCTAAATTCCATTTATAATTTTTAAAACTAAACGAAAAAATACAATTAATTGTATAAGTTTTTCTGGTGGACAAAGCAATTTATTTTCATTCATTCCATTAAGATTTCCTATTGTAATTTTTGTCTTTTATTCTCATAAATTCGATATTGATATTTCTTTTGATAATTTTTAGTTTTTCAATAAAATACAAGTACAATTAAAAATGTAATCTAGAGAGATGGTTTTATGTAGTATTTAATATTAATAAACCCAATTATAGTTAAGAAAAGGAAAATAAAAACTTTGCTTTTTATTAGTGACAAGATTTTTCTTTCTAAGCTGGGAAAAATAACTTAGCTTAATTAATTTTTATTTATTATACTTTAACACAAAGCATTACATTTAAAAACTGTGTAGATATGACGTATTTTTAAAGGTGTTTTTTAAATGAATCATACATTTAAAATTAACTTTATAGTCTTTGCACAGCAGCTTTGCATTTACAGTATCTATTACAATAGCTTTGTATACTTCATTTATTTGTATTTTAATATAATAAATGTAAATGATATGGCATTAATGACAAGAAACAAATTATATATTCTTGCTTAATGAAGCATAACTCTTTTAATTTTCAAAATTAATTAAACAAGCAAGGTTTATATTTACATAAAATGGAACACAGAACAGTGTTAAGACATGGAAAACTAACTTTTTGCATTAATACAGAACAGTAACTTGTCTCTGCAATTCTATACGTATTCTCTACGCCACACTTAGTCCAATCCCCCCTTACACACCCTTCCTCTCGAGGCCCTCTTACCTGGCATCAAAGGCACGTGTCCCGCACGTTTCCTAATGCCACTTGGCCAAAGTTCAAAGGTCACGTAGTTATGTAATTTTTTATGTATTTTCATAATTTTATACATGCATATTTTTAAACATTTGTAAGAAATAATAATTTTATTTTAAAAAAATATATATATATTAGCATCCAGTAAATGTACATTTTTAAAAAAAGAAAATTGGAAAAAAATTGTTTTAACTTTTGTCTTTTAAGGAAATGGTAAAAATTCTATTTTTAGAAAATATGTCAATCCCACGTCGTTTACGAGAATGAAAAAAGGGGACATCTTCTGCCGATCACGTGACTAAAACCGGAGGAAAAAATCGAGAATTTTTATGTCATAAAAATATCCATGCTCCTTGCCAAAATGTGACAAATGTCGTTTATACTGTTACCTGACTCGCTACCTCTTTAAAAAGTCAGTAGCGAGAATACATCACGTGATTTCACGGAGATATTTTCCCGACATTCTGCCAAACAAATAATTAAACACTTAAAATGCTTCTCTCTCTCTCTCTCTCTCTGTCCCTCCCCTCCTCCTTCTCCTTCTGTTTTAAAATTAGTTCTTATAAGTCACGATGGCCGTTTTTTACAGCATTTTATGGCCACTTAACTCATCAAATTTGCTTAAAATATCACCAAAAAATAAAAGTTTAGAGCTTTCAGATAAAGATATACCTGCGATTATGGGCGAAGCTGCTAAAAAAAAATTCCTACTTGCTTTGGCATATCGCGCCCTACTCCGCTCAAAATATACTTACACGATGACTATCTTTGGGCGGAATACCCCGTTAAATAATTTGGCATATTACTTTTTACGTTTGGCCAAGACAAATATATCCGTTACGTAGCGTACATTTGAGCGGAGTTGTGCATAAAATGGTAATAATTGAGAAGTT